TAAAATACAAAAGAACTGACTGAACAAAGTGAAGGAAGTTCTGCACTAAGAATTGTAATAAAATATAAAAGAGCTGACTGAACAAAGTTCTGCATTCAACATGTAATAAAATACAAAAGGAGTGCCTGAACAAAGTGAAGGCTGTCCTGCACTGAGCAAAGGGGGTTCCCCCAATGAGATCAAAGTCTGCTGAAGCCACAGCTTGCAACTCGTAGTGGTTAGGATTGATGACATCATGCACTCAGCAGAAGATGTTGAAAATTAGTGCATCGGGGATGATGCAGTCACTACCGATCTCTGATTGCATGTCCACATCACCGATTGATTAGCTACCACCTTTAACAAATATGTTTACTTACTTTTACTTTCGTATTTAAAAGATTGTATTATGTACTTATGAGAATAAGGCTCATGCTCCTTAGACTCAGCTACTGCACTAACACATCCATTCTTATATCCATTTTGGAGTAAGTGGAATGCCTGGACATGGTGTTCATTTATTTTGTAGCTGCTGTCAGACTACCACATTTGGATCTAACACATTCGACTTTGTAGTGCCAGACAATTCAACACCGTCAGCTCTCCTACATGATATTGATAGCTGTCTCGAATATGGACACATACTTATGGCACTAAATCTTTCTATTCGACGAGCCAGAAGGTATGTGCCATTGTGATCTACAGGCATGTCGGTGGACCGCAGTCTAAGGATGGAGGCGAGACGATCACATTCATGTTCGAGCAACGAACACTATTCAGATGTCATAGACAAGAGTACAATACAACAAGATGCGTGAAACATGCCACAAGTATGGAAAATTCCAAGGTAATTGCAACGCGAAGCCCAGCTGGTGACAGGCGTACCAGAGCAAGCAAGACTATAGACTAGTAGGTAAATATAGAGCGGATTGAGGGAAGAAAAGCGCAAGGATGCGAATTATATACAGCTGATTATATGTACAGGTTGTGGATGCGGAGAGTCATGTATTGCGTAGAATGTCAAGAGAGAGAGAGGAAGAGGAAGAGAAAAAGGAGATGGAAAATATTGGAGAAATGTCAAGCACCATCAGCAACGTCGATCCCATACTGATCGCGTCCAAGGGCGATGCGCATCGCCTCTACGGCAGCAAGATGGAACGGCAAGATAGGGCTGACGTCCAGTCGCCACCGCGTACGGGCCAGGACCGCCAGCTCATGGAAGTTCTGGGTGATGGCCGCGTGGAGCGTCGCTGTCTCCTCTGGGGGGGCCATAGCACTTTGCGGACGCACGGTATGCAGGAGATGGAGATGGAGCATGGAGGCGGCGGTGAGAGAGAGAGTGGCCGGGATACAGACAAGGCTCGTGGTAGAGCACGGTAGGAGAGGCAGGGGATGCGGGAGGGACGTTGTGGGTTGGTCCGTCCCTGATTCTGGGACGTGGGAGAGGGAGATGCCGAGATCCATGGATGTGGGAGGGTAGGATTGCGGAAGGGAGGTGTAGGGCGAGGTCACGAAGATGGTCGTGGAGATGTCGGTGAAGATGTTTTGTGGCTGGCCCTTGGAAATCGAGGAGGTCCGGGTGGCGTTGTGGGCTTTCAGTGAAGGCGATCTGGGCGCTGGGGGCTTTGTGGGATGTGAGCGGGTTGTACAGAAGGTCCAGGGAGCGTCTGGCTCGACGGAAAGTAGGGTGAAGCTCGCTATACGCGACCTTCGTGAGTGGACATCGATCCAACTCATCCACGCTACAAAAATCAATACACATGAGCCAACAACCATAAAGAGGTGAAGAAAAATACCCGTACCATCAAGCTCCGCCTCGCCCACCACCCCTAGCTTCGAAAACACAATCCTCCACTCGACCTTCGCCTTCTTCGCAAATGCCATCGCAAACTCCCACACCTTCTTCACAACCCCCATTTCCCATCTCCCCTCTCCCTCTCCCTCTCCGTTGCCACCATTACTCCTATCATCGTCGTCGTCATCCCCATCCTCCTCCTCACCCACCCCCTGCGCGGCCCACACCCCCAACTCATGCGCCTCCCCCCGCTCATCCACACACGCCGCGAGCACCCATCGCCCACACGGGCTCAGCCCATAGCCCACATGCACAAAGGTCCCCCGATCCATAACGTCCAACGACGCATGCGCCGCGCGCACGAAGGACGCTCTGTTGGTGCGGAGGGGTCTCGCGAGTGTGAATGCGGGTTCTTGGAAGTACCGCCGCACGCGGATGCCGTGCTCGAAGAAGCGGCGGGACATGGTACGGTCGACGGGGACGAGGAGGCGGTTGTACAAGGAGAGCACGAGGGACTGCGTGGGGGTTGTTGGGTCGGCGGTGGTGGCGGCGGCAGAGAGGAATGTGGGGAGAGAAGGGGAGGAGGAGAGAGAGGTGGAGTGGATGAGGTGTTCGGGGACGAGCTGGAAGTGGAGGAGGGCTTCTGAGTAGGTCTTGAGTGATTTTAGGAGTGCGGAGAAGATATGCCGAAGAGTGGGGGAGGAGAGTGTCATGCTGGCGAGGGGAGTGACGATGAAGAAGACGAGACTTGATTGGGAGGCCGGGAGCCCTGAGATTAGGGTCGCTGGATAGATAGGTATATTTCGTCAGAATCATGCCTTCAGCCTTATCACCACCATTGAATAACTCACTCAACGTCATGCGGAACGACGAATCAAACCGCAGCGGGACCAACCCGTCCATTGAACTCGCAGGAATCTTCCCAGGCGTAAGCTTCCCCAAATGTCGGCCCTACATAACATCGAACACATCAGTATCTCCCTTCAACCAAAACCAAAACCAAAAGATACAATAACACACCTCATAATTAACAATGACATCCCCCAACCACGCCGCGACCATATCACTCACCGCCGCGCCCGCGCCTCCCCCGGGGCCCTCCTCGAAGAGCACGAAGACCGTCCCGTCCTTCCCCCCGCCCCGTGGGCCGAGCCCAAGCTTCTCCCAGAACCGCAGGGCAGGCGGGAGGACGTGAATGATGGAGGAAGATTTGCTCATTGCGAGGTGCGGGGCCTCGAGCAGGCGGAGCTTTGCTGGAGTTGGGGGTGCAGTATTTTGGGAGACGTCTACGTCTACGTCCATGCGCTTGTCCTTGTCCTTGTCTTGAGCTGGATTGGAATCAATAATACCGACCTCCCCAAACACCCTCCCCAACTCCAACTCTCCCCCCACGAGCCCCGGCACGCCTTCTAACAACTTCGAGATGGCTTTAACATCCGCGAGCCACAACCCTTCCCCGCTCCCACTCCTACCACTCCCGCTTCCTATTCCTCTCATCCCCATTGAAGTAAAGTTGGCGTTGCAATGGGAATAGGGACCCGAACTCGGATGGGAGTTATAATGGGTGGAGAAACCAAAAGCAGTACTAGCCCTCCACGCAGCAGCCCACGGGGCGTTCTCCACCGCCTCGAGCGCGACGGTGCGTGCGGCGGCGAGGAGAGAGCGGCTCTGCGTGAGCGTGGCGGCGGGCGAGACGGGTGTGGGGACGGAGCGCGCTGCGAGTGCGCCTGCGCCTGGCCCTGTTCCTGCTGATAGTGTCAAGGCGGATGTAGTGTGGGTGGTGGTGGATGCGTGTGTGTTGGCGTTGGGATTGGGATTGCTGGTGGTGTGAGGGTGCTCCTCGAACGGTAACATCAAAGACAACGGCATACAAAGCGGCAACAGCGCCGCGTGTGCAAAATGTGTCTGTATGAGGGAGGGCCCGAGGGGGATGTGTGGCGGCGGGGGCGTGCTGGGGCGTGATTGGGGCGGGGTCGTATCTCCACCTTCATCTGCGTCTTCGTCTTCGTCCACTTCGTCGTCCGAGGAGGAACAGGAGGAAGAGGGGGAGGGGGGGTATGCGGTTGGCGAGGAGGAGGAGGAAGGAGGGGAGGGCGGATCGAGCCAGGAGGGGGAGGGGAGGTACGTGGGGGAGGCGGGGTACGTGACTTGGGTGTGGGATTGAGTAGGGGTAGGATAAGGGTGGGAGTGCGTGGGGGTCGGGTACGGATAGGTGGGGTAAGACTGAGAACACGAATGCGTAGGTTTCTTCCCTCCATGCGGAGAGGAGGAGGTGAGTTTGCGCTTCACGCCGATGAGTTTCTTTACGACACCAATGCGGGGGTCGGTCGCGGCGATGTAGCGGCGTTTCCAGCCTTGGGGATGGGTGGTGGTGGGGTTGGTGGGGTCTTCGACCGCTGTCGCCTTCGCCTCCTTCGTCTTGTCCTTCGCCCTCATCCTGTCCTTCGTCGTATCCTGTCCCTCCCACTTCCCCTTATCCTTATCCTTTTGAAGGTGGAAATGCACATCACCAACCTCATCCCCCCGCTCAAACAGAAACTTGCCCCCCACACCAACATACTTCCCGTCCATCGCTCTGTAGTACTCTGAGAATGGGATGGGGTCCCAAGGGCTGGCTCCCACACCACCAGTAACATTTGCACTTGCACCTCCATCGCTGTGTCGGAGTAGGGGAACCAGCGGAACGAACGGGCCGGGCGTAGCAGGCGCCGAGGGCGGTGAGGGAGGTGTGGGCCCTGGGGAGGGCGGAAG